AATACATATGAGTATATACGTCTATAGAAGCAAGGAACCCCCGAAAAAAAATACATGTTGATAGAGTTTGGATCTTCCTAATGAATCATTCCAGGAGTTCAGCTTGGCCCTGGGTGCCACCAGCAGCACTGGACGCTTGTGCATGAGCAATCATGTGGATCCGATCCACCAGGAGAGGTGCAGTTGGTTGGGCTCGGAGCGGATGACACTTCCATAGTGCGCAACCTTGGAGAGTACTAGTTCGTTGCACTGACCAAATGATGTACCATCTCATAGAACAGTGGAAACCCTTTCTATAGAATCATTTGATGTACCATCTCAAAGAATCATCTCATAGAAAGGGTTTCCACTTTCATGGTAGTTCCAGGGAGTGTAGGAAGGAAAGAAGTCGACCAAGAACAGCTCCGTCAAGATATGTCAAGAGACTTTGTTGTGATGTTTTGTGCAGTCGTGATGTGTGAGATGTGCTGCATGAACACATCCCAGGTTAGCTCTCCCCATCTCTCCCCCTCAATTTGGACACGCCAGGAATGTGCCACGTTACCTGACGTGGTCACTGTGAATGGCAAGCCTACTGTGAGTGGTCCCGTGGCGGTCGTTGCTGGTTACGGGACCGAACAAACAGGACCGAAATGCCAAAGAGTTCGAAGGCATTGAGAACACTCGATGGTGGCTGTTTGGTTTTGGTGTTTCTCAGGTCGGGATTGTCTCACAGACTCTGAGTGCCTCCGCCCAGCTGCTTGGAAGAGGCTGAAAGCATTTGTAATGTTGTCAATTTGGGCTCCACCAATGTCCACGTTACCTTGTTCCGCTGGGATTCTTCTTCTAAAGCATGCTTGGATAACCGACTTTCCCTGGTTTCCCTTGCAGGTGTCGACTGACAAAGGAAACCATTTTCGTCATGGGGAGTTGAGCGCTCCCGACGTGACGGGCCATGCATCCCATGTTTTGTCTCATAATGTTTTAATTCTAATTCTGATTCTTGTTCCTAATAGCTTTATTTTTACTAGTAGTATGGCCAGGAGCCCCGTTCGTAGCGTCCTTGTTCCTAGTAGGGGTCCATATAAACATGTATATATATATATATACACAGCACCAAACGTGATAATTGTGCCATCTACTCTCAATCCACTGGTAATCTCCTTAAGGTGCGTGGTTTCGATCATTTTCGACCCCTTGAGAATGTCGTTCAACATCATCAAGCTGGTGAGCTGGTGCCCGGATGGATCTAAGGACAACTCTTTGGGCCGGTGTCTTTGCAAACAGTGGTGGGAAGGCTGGACATCATTTGAAATCGAAAGTGATCAAGTGTAACTCAGTGTAGCTTACTGGGACTGGACCCGGTGATATATTGGCTTGTGGTGCTTTTTGGTTGCACGTTTCAGAAGCGCTGTTTGGATTTTTATCCTTCACTGTTTGTTCTTTGGAGGGAGTATCCATGACGTGATGTCCCACGGAAGGGTCGTGATGTCGCGAGTCAGGAAACTGCACTTGCTGTACATACTTCTATACACACTCAGCTGCATGTGTGTTCTCGTGTTTTCAGGGCTCCAACCAACCAGATAACCCGACTCCGTCGCCTTCGGGGCACCGACGATGGTACGCCCGAAGACGGGAGGCGCTGGTACGGCTGGGTACTGTGAGCTCTCTGAGCTGCAGGTTTGGAAGCCCGCCTTCAAGTGCCTGGACGAGCATTCTTGGGTCATCAAGGGAAGCGAAGACGGATGGAACAGGAACCAGGTGAGCAGGTTTGACCCCACTCTGTGCTTTTCAAACGCTGGGGGGGGCTCAAACTCCGACCAGAGACGTGAGCACAGGAGAATCGAATTCCAGACCGGTCAAAACCTTGCAAGGCCTGAAACCAAGCTCAGGATTTTAAGCGCCGTAGCGGTTGGCGCCCTAAACCCTAAAACCTCGGACTTGACGCGGCAGACAGCTAGCTTTTGGGCTTCAATAAGGTAGTACTGCGCGGCAAGGTCTGACTTTGACAGCGGTAACGGTAACAACATGTAAAAACATTGGTTATAGAGGGGAACAAAAATACCGCCAGCTTTCCGCATGGGTTTGAGGGCATCGACCCCCGCGCGACTTCGCTCACCACCGCCTGCAATGTAGGTCAATCGTTTTGACATATATATGCAACAATGGATGTGGCCTGTTCCGTGTGGCCTGTTCCGTATTCCCCCTCCTTCCCTCTCCCTCCCTCACTGCAGGCGCTTCTGGGAGGCCGCCATCGTGGCCTGCCACCACGACTGGTCCGAGGAGCGCTGCGCGGCGGAGATCGGCCTTGAAGAGGCCGAGCTGCCGAGCTGCGCTGCGCGACCGGGTTCTCCGCGGTCAGCCCGCGGTACACCGGTGGTCAGTCCGCATGCGATGCCAAGAAATGCCAAGAACACGTTCTTGGTTCAAAGATCAAACTCACGTGATTTCAATTGCTTGGGGTGGCATTATGTTGTTGAAATCCTTTGTTGGACATGTCGGAATGGTCAGTTTGTTGTTGCTTCACTGTTGGTGACACTGGTATTCTCAAGATCTTCGAGGTTTGATGGTGCTTGGTTTCTACCGAACATATGCCTACAGCGATCGATGCCCATGGAGTGTGCAGTGTGAGGAAGTTCTTACTTTGAACGACCTTACTGGGCTTGGCACGCTATCCAGTTGCACCTCATTGAAAGGCCCCACTGACTTAAACAGAATAGTGCATTGATTCAACCATATTCAACATATACTGTATAATGTTCGGCGTAGACAGAAAAGAATGTGGGCAACCAACGCTCCAACGACCCAGAACCTCATGTCAAGAAACATGCAGACATCCTGGTTCGGAAGGCCTATGGCGAGGACAGATCACTTCATTTTCGTGACGAGACCCGATCAGACTGTCACTGCAGGTGCTGGCGACCGTGCGGAGGGACTCAGCAGCCTTGTCGTCGGATCCGACGGAGGCGCCTTGTCGTACTTCCGGCGCCTCACCGTTGAGTGATGGGAGTGATACTGTGCAGATCCGTGTAGCATGCTAGACTGATACTTTTCACGATCACCCCATGAGTCACCCCATGTCAATCTACGGAAACCAATACATTGAACGTCCTTTCTTTGCTTCCCCAGCCAGGCAGACCGACCTGGACCCTCAAAACCTGTGGATCAATAAAAACCACTGTCAGGGTCCACGTCAGTCTTTGAGAGGATGCATCATATTTGAGCCACCACCCCTTCTGTTTGTTTGGCCCCTTTACACTGCTTCAACCATGTTCCAGCCTAGTTGCAGAAGATGTTGCTCTTCGATTTTCCTGTAGATCCCCACTACCCTAGGGCTCCAAGTTAGAAGGTGTTTGAGAGTTTGCAGGGTCCAAATACCTTGTGAGGAGCTAATTTCTTGGAGCCGCTAGTATCTCTTTGTCACCACTACCGTCGATCACCTCACCGATGTGACATCGGCTGTGCAGATCAAGAGCTGTGCGACCGAGCTGCTGGAGACCTGGGATTTTAACGGGCTCCACCGAGGCCCGAACAACGTGGCGGACAGTCGGGCAGGGTCCAGGGCGGGGGAGTGGAGGGGTTGGATGGTGTTTGGATGGCTGGTCGATCCTTTGGGTTTGCATGCATGGCTTTGAAGGGAAATTCTTTCGACATGGAAGATGATGGAACGCACGATGTTCCTTTTCACATGGGTAGTCCAGTTTCTATATCGTTTCATGTTGTTTCTATATAGGCTGGTTTTTGGAAGGCTGGTGAAATTATGGTCTTGACTCATGTTCCGCCCAAATCAATACAAGATCCAGGTCAAAGTTCATGATTTGGGACAAGGTGCAAATGTAGGATCCCAGACATCCAGACAGCTTGAGGGCCAAATGCAGTGAGGATAAACCGACTCCAAGAAAGACTAAAGACACATGCATTGAAGCATGTTGAAGCCAAACATTGCATCCTTGGACTTTTCTCCCAACAGCACCCTGCCTTTGTGCCTTGGCGCTCCTTGAACGGCCACACTCCAGGTGCACATGCTTTGCTGTGCTTCTTGGCGAAACCCCAAATGGGCCTTGTAAGCCGCAATTGTTGCTCTTAAAGAACATGACTCATATGTAATGTATATATATATATACTTATATATAGCCGTTTCAACAACTTGCTACCTCATCCTCCAGGACTCCAGGTGTCATATAGGTCGATCTTCCCGAGGTCTTCCTTTGCTGGTGCAGCTCTTGTGAGGTGGGACACCGGAGAACGCGCTCAGATCCGGGTCCCTTCCATGGATTTGACGGTCCCCCAAAACAAAGGGGAAAGCTTGAAAACCTACGACATTCCACCAATTCACACTACTTCCAAGAAGCAGCTAGCAATACCCACAAACCATGTTGTTTAGATTGGGGCCCATCCCAACCACTGTTGAATGGGCGGATGCTGACATCATCATTATGAATGCCAGCAAAGAAGTTCCATGCACCGTGTAAAATGGAAGGACATATTGAGAACCCCTTCCAGCAGAGCTAGCAAGGCAGAACAATGCAGTCTCACCAAGGCAGACTTTGTGCTGGGTTTACCAGCTAGGAGGGGACTTGGTGACTTTGTTCCTTAACTACCCTTTGCTGCGGCTTGTGGCACTGTGGCCACTCAGTCCAGAAAGCCGGTGACTGTGTACATAGTCAGCGCTTCAGGCCCAGTCCGCATAACACGTGCCGGACAGGGAGGGTGCAGAGGAAAGTTACAAAGAGGGGGAATCGGGTGACAATGAGTAGAGGCGGAGTGATAGGCCTTGGATCGGCCAACCCTTGCTTTATCCGAGAAGGTTGGCCCATTTGGTTAGAGTTTGGGCGCCAGTTCTAGTCATCACTGCAGAGCTGATCAGAACTCCAAGCTCTACCCTCAAAATCTCAAAAGACTGAGCCACTAGCAGACTCCCAGCACCCAAAAACACCGAAACAGCCCTTCTTCTGCCCCTTCTTGAGCCAAAAGCCTGGCTCCTTGGCCCGGTTTGCACTCCTCCAACGCCCTCCGCCCAGGCGTGGAGCAGCTTTCGGCCAAGCCTTCGGGCTGCCTGCCGCGCCTGGGTCCCAGCCGCCACGGCTCGCGCAGCGGGTCATGCGGCTCAGGCGCGGTCGATGTATGTCGATGTTGACCAGGAGCGGCCAGGAGGTTCTGTTGAACGTAGGACGCCCATGGACGCCCAGAACTGATTTGGCTCAGAGTTCGCATGCCGTTTGTATTTCATTCATGTTTCATAAAAGCGAGGAAAAAAGCTATCAACGGATTTCGATTGAATATGTTGCGTGCGCGTGCTATTCTAGCGATCATGGGAACACAAGTCAAGTGGTTGGTTTTTGGTCCATCACGAGAATAACTTCATTCACCAAACCCTTTCATCACTGGTGTTTGCATGTGTTTGCGACCAGAGCTTGCAAGCTTTGGACGAAAACGAAGACGCATACGAAACATTTCGATACACACAAAGCAAACCTTGAGGACATGACCCAAACAAAAACATAATAGATAATTAATTGCTTGAATTTTACGAATATCCTAAGTGTAACCATGTTTATATGTACCTATAAGACAGTACTGCAGGTACCATCGACATGTCCGAGATAGAAACTCTCCAAAGCACTGGTCTACCGACGAAATCCATGCGCGTGGCCCGCAGGCTTGGGGTTGAAGGCTCGATCTTAGGCTCGGTCTTGGGGCGCTCGGGAACTCTTGTGTGGGTTGTGGGTTACCACCCAGTTCAGGTGGTGATTGGGCCATTGGGCATTGTCAAGGGGGGGTCCATAAACCACCCGAATGGGGTGGTGCTGGTTAGAGGTGTTTGGTTGTTGTTGGATGAGGACGGCTCACTCTTGTTGGGACGTTGTAATTCTTAGCTGTGGCAAACAGTAGACGATGGTGATGATGTCTAACGTCGATGTGAAGGGCTCTGGAGTTGTAAGTTATAGGGAACCAACTGAGCAATTCTCGAGGCAAGTCACCAAATGTTCAGTTCAGGTTCAGCTTTTTCAGCGTCATATAGAGTCATCATCCTGTACATTTGTGAAAGTTCATTTCAGAGAGCAGTTGCCAAAAAGAACACCCCTTGATCCGCATTCGCCAGAAGGATCATTGTTGACCATAAGCACTAGTCATTAGAGGTAGAGATCTTCATTCACAACCCCTTGCTTGGCTGTCTAGTCAGAGACTAACCCAATGAGCATGGCCCGAGACGCAGACACCGCGAGGAGACACGGCAATGGCCTGAAATTCATGCAGAAAAGGGGGCACTTCTGAAAACATGGCAAGACGCATGAGAAGTAGCTGTGGGTCAATATTTGGAGCATTGGAGCCTTGAACTCTCTTAGCTTGACCTCCCTGGCAGGCTATTCTGGTCATGGTTTGTGGTCCACCGGTCGGGTCCACCCTTTTTGACCTACAGGTCCTTGTGTGTAGCTGATTTCAGGTCCTTATGGTCCAAGTTGTTCGCAATTGTTTGGCATGTGTTTGGAAGGACCCAGCAACAAATGGCATCATTCCAAGCGTGATGATGCCCCAAATTCAGGTGTAAAGAATTGCAAGCAGCCCTTTCAGACACATGCCCATCAGGCAGCAAAATGGTTTTTTCGCAGCGCGGAACGAGCTTGACGTTCTTTTGTACACACAGCGCTCGATCATCCTTTTAGTCTACCGTGTTGCCACGAAGAAGCACAATGAATGCACCGAAAACGCCGTGTGGGCACGCTCCACGCTCCTCTCAGCGGGGACGACGCACTGCTGTTTTCTTTCAAGGTTTTTCCGCAAGAAGACCATGGCTAGCCCAAATGGTGGAAGCTCTTCAAGCTGAGGGAGAACGCACAAGTTGCAAACAAGAACGTTTAGCAAAGATGTTTGTATGGCAATTGCATAAGTTTTTCGCTAGCGATTTCACGGCGATGCACACATCGAGTGCAGCATTGTAGCACCAGCAGGCAGTGTCACCTGGCATGTAATAGATATAAATAGAGCTGAGCGCAGGGTTTCTTTTTTCCCCGGCTAGCTGCTAGCTAACAGGAGCCACAGAGGCTTGCGTTTTCAGTTGGTTTAAGGAACCTACTCGCCAACCAAGTCAGAGGGTGACTCCTAGAACCTACTCACTCAGAACTCTTCAATTCATCTAATTGCCATGTTTGACTTCGATGGCAAGGCAGGAGAGTTCGTTTCACGAAGGCACCGAGGCTTTAAAATAATAGCTTCCCCAAACGCATGGCCAGATCAACCAGCATTCGGATGGATGACATTGGCCAAACTTGTTATTTGTGATATTTGAGGATATTTGATATTTGCAACAATCTCATAGGTGGGGACACGGCAATATGATCCTGAAGACAGGTGAAATCAAACCACTGACCTTTCTGCTCGATTCCAGTCTCAACCACCACGATCAAGGTCTTCGTCATGGGCAGGCGGCCAGGACGTCAGACCTCACAACCCCCCAAAGAAGAGCATTCTCATGCAGGCAACTCATGCGATAGTTGGTTTGGTTGACCGTGGGTCCATTTTGGTTGGCGAAGGATTCAAGTCCAATCAATTCTGGGGGGGAACTTGTGGAATCGAAAGGACACAGGTATAACCACCTACTTGGCAAAGTAAACACACCTATATATATAATTTTAATGTATATATATATAGTTATATATTTATATTATATTACTCTATATGTATATTTAATTTTTCATGTATATATGTTTATTTATTTGTTTATATATATATATATACATAAGTTTGTTTTTCATTGAGAGTGGGCAGATGAGCTTCCACCTAGCAATATGTGTGATGGTGTCCCCCCCCAAAAGTGACCCCAGCAGATGTGTGGTCCAACCTTGCTTTCTCAAGAAGTTTGGGATGTCCCACTTGTGAAAGGTGGGTGTCACTCGGTCACTTCTGGATTTCTACGCATGAAGGCAGAGGTTGGTGCTTTCTATTACATCCAATGATTCATTCAAACCTCACCTGGTAGTCATTTTAAACCCATCCCAAAGGGGGCCTAAGTAGTCATCCTTGGCTAAGCAGGGACACTTTGCTCTATAGAATGTACTTGGTCACTTGGTGTTTGAAGAAACAGCTGGGCCCCCGTCAGGTCCGGGTCCCCACCGCACCGGTCCAGGTGCGTGGCAGCGGATCCCGCGTGGATCTCAGTGGGCGAGGCGAGGCGATGCCGACGGATGCGCGACGGGGCTGAGCGACGGATGCGCGGAGCGATGAACTGACAAGGACAAGAGATCCTAAAGGAAAACCAGTCACTCGTCGAGCATCAGTCAGTTCGTGGTTGGGCGGAATTCAGGGTCGAGATGAGCTCGGAGTGTGACATATGTGTGTTTGTTTTCGTCTGGACGACCACCTGGTTTCTTTTTTCCCGGTTTGGACCGGACCTGTTCCGCATCCCTGTTCCGCCCCGTTTGTCTCCGGCACTGTTCCGCAGGGCGCAAAGGGCCCCGGCAAGCGCCGGAGGAGAGTCGTTCCGATTTCGTGAAGCGCCGCTCGGCACGGGCGGAGCGGAGAGCGGGGAGCGGCGCGCCATGGGGCAAGATTGCAGTCAGGACTTTCGATCACTCCGACAGTATACAGAGGCACTTTTGAGTATGAGTTGCTAAATGTTGTTATGAGATGAGTGGATTCATTCACTTCAAGCGTATAAGCATGCAGCATGAGGACAAGTTTTGTTGGCTTCCATGCTAGCCTCGGTTTCGATCTTGTGAATCTTCTCCACTCTTACAGGTCAGTCGAAGTTTGTGCAGATGCAGGGAAGATCTCACCATTACTCGTGCCAAGTTGATTGTTTACATCCGAGGGCCCCATGAAATATGGTGACTTTTGTTCCTCTCATGAAGAGTTAGCAGGCTTTTACATGATCCGATGCCAAGAAACAAGTGATGCCTTCCGCTTTCCTTCATCAACCCGCTTTCTTCGGGACTCGTTGGGCCAACACCATTTTTTGAGGCCAACACCAAGAGCGCGAGGCCCGCGAGCGGAAGAGGCGGACGAAGCTCCGCAGCGGGTTGCGCGCCCGCGGACGTGGAGATGAGTTCAGGATGTGCTTGGACAACTGCCATATATGCGTATATATATATTATATGTAATACTATTTACTATTATATATATATATATATATATTGTATTTAACACTATATGGGACTTATAAGATTTCGTAGATACATTTATTAGTTGTATCATAATAAATCATATGCACTTCCCGAATCCTATCCATTTTTGACCCTTTTTCAAACCTGCTGGGAGACCTGGCCCCCGGTCCAGGACCACCTTGGTGTAAATAGATGGCAGAGGCCCAGCCTCAAATAGAATGTCGCTCTGATTAATTCAGGGACGTGCGCACGCTGTATGAGACTTGTGACTGCACGCAGGCTGTGTGCTTGTGTCTTTTGATCTTGTTGGAACATGCCATCAAAGCCCCAAAATGGTCAACATGATCAAGGTTTCCGAAACACACATGCACGACAAATCTATATAGATTGTGGATTTATGGGATACCAAGGGTCAAACGCCCTCAAGCCTTAGCTTAGAATTTGTCAAATTGAAATGATCACTTGGCCAACAAGATGACCAGAATCAGAATGCCCCAGGATCCGTGAAGCCGCCTCGCGACACATTCAGGCCGGCAGCCGGGGGTGGGGCCAGTGGACTAGTGCTGAACGTGGACCCAATTCCCATGTATTGCTTTGAAGTGGCCTTGATCTCTAGACTCTAGACTGAGAGTCCTGTCCTATTGGTTGAAATCAGGATAGTTCCTGTCATGAATTTGGGGTGGAGGACTGCCACATTTCCTCCAACCACGCTCTGTCAAAGCGACCTCAGACACTGCGCCAAAGACTCAAACAAACAACCAAACGTATAAAATAGGGTATTCAAAGGCTTGCTACTGGATATTACTGGATAGCACCTTAGTAGTTGTGACACATGTGATGTTCTCTTACCAAAGTGAGTATATATGACATTATGCTATGATTTAATTCATATATGTGCAACAGTTTGTAGAACTTGCATTCCCAAGCTGTTGCTAACACCGAAACCATGACGTGCTCCGTGCTCCCCGTCCAGGCCGTCTACCGGGGCCATCGATGCCGCCGAGCCCAACAGGCCGAGAAGCGGCAGGCGACCGGGCAATGACACGTTGGACCGCCCAAAGCGCGTGGGAAACATGGTTTGTGAGGTGCCAAACAAAGCAAACCATATTGCACCATCAATCACCATGGATTCATGGTTTGTTAATATTGTACCATTTGGTCTCCCCGGAGGTTGGCCCTTCTAAGTGTGTTCCTTTTGGCACGTTCTTTTTTCTGGAGAGCAGTTATCTTGGCGAAATCCTCATGGCGACCGGGCCGACGGGGCCTTTTGAAGAGCAACAGGCACCTGCATTTGATCCACTGACCAATTTAGGGATTTTTGTGAGCTTCCTGGGTGAATGCTGAAATAGGCCAACTTGTGGCTACTTGAATCCTGACCGGCAGGTGCTCGTCAAACTGGCAAACCGTTCTTCGACAAAGACTCTTTGACCCCAAAACACGTATATCGTTATGTTGTGCATTGATTTGGCTTGCTAGCTCCGCCTGCACGGGCTGCATCCCTTTGCCGCAGGTCTTCGACAAGCGCTATGCGGACATCAGCAAGGCTTCTGGAACTGCTGGGAGGTCTGGATGCAAATTGTAGAT